TTTAACATACTAATACGCCATGAAACTGTGCGTCTGTTATAAAAAACTCTAGTGACACTGTTGTCTAAACATGCTCGTGATTCTGAGCGCCTGTTACACCGTGAGAGAACTGACCCAGAATATTCTGTTTTTTTTTTTCCTATCTATGCTGATAGCCTTGAGAGGAGGCTATTTCAGCTTCGCCCTAACGTTTGTAGGTGAGCTCACGGGGCTCAAACCTGATGACGTTGCTAACACGAACCCTAGCAAGAGCAGTGCTTCGCAGAATCTACCACCGGATCGGAAACGCGACCCACTGAGAAGATCCGGCGAGAAACTCAGTGGGCTGTGTCTGAGAGTTAATTTACTCGCCGAGCCCTTCGTCGCAAGCGACGGGTTCGACGAGAATGGTGACCGGTGCTTGAAGTACCTAGAAGCACCGTTAGTGGATCGGGAGGATCCGAGATGACGTGTAATATTCTGTGCAAATACGGGAGGAAAAAATAGATAATTAAATAATTAGGAAGGAGAAGAATTATCCTGGAATTGAAACTGTACTAAAAAAAATGTGTGCGTGTACTAGTGTACACACGTAAGAAGTGAAACTTGTTTATGGCCTTATTTTTCGAAAAATGATCTACATGCAACTTTCTAGAAATTGGTTAAATAAAGTTAAATTAGATAAAGTTTAAACAAAAGGATTTTATTATCATAGACATGAATACAAAAAAGTTAAATTAGATAAAGTTTAAACAAAAGGATTTTATTATCATAGACATGAATACAAAACAGATGGCGCGTAACGGAAAAAAGTGACGCGTAACCGAAAAATGTGACGGTAAATTTTTTTCCAACGCCGATAAGGAAGTTTCACTTCAAAAACTACAAAGTAAAAACTTATTTTCTGTTTCATTGTGCGGTATGTCTCTATATACCTATAAAAATGAATTGCTGTTCGTTAGTCTCGCTAAAACTCGAGAACGGCTGGACCGATTTGGCTAATTTTGGTCTTGAATTATTCGTGGAAGTCCAGGGAAGGTTTAAAAGGCGAGAAAATATAAAAAAGCTCGGAATTATATAAAAACAAACAATTTTGTTTTTCCTTTGATGTGTCCCCTTGATGCAATAAATAATATTACTGTAAGAAGGACATCTTTATTAAGATTTTTTAGGAATGCACTTCAAGCATAGTAGATGGTCGAATGCTATTTTTGAATCTCGTTACTGACAGATGAACATACGAATCTGATCGTGAGCGGGACGTCAGCGGATGATCACAGCAGTTCCGTTGCCTAACCCTGAAGATCCACCTCAAAGTTCGTTTGAATTATAAATATTACCGGAGAAATACCCCTACATTCTCTAAAAAAAACGTTAAATTCCATTTCATGTCTGTTTTGAAGCTTAATATTTTGTATTTGTATTCGGCACCAATAATACGTCAATTTATGACCATATACATACATATATACGTATTATACAAATATTATTTGAAATGTATTTATTTTTACTTAAATAAAAAGGTGATTAACATATTACTTCACAAGCCAACAAATTAGGTATTCAAATTCAAATAGTCAAACATCTCTTTAAGCTTTTATTATTTTTAATAAAATATTATTTCCGATATCTCGAATACTTTACGAATAGTTTTCGTCAGTATAAATAATATATATTATATTAACATCTAGTATAATAATAAAATGACTATAAAAAAATCCCGTAAAAGTAGTTTGAAATTGATATAAAAATATAGGTTTCTCGAAAACCAACTAAAATTACTGTAAGATGTATTCATCTTTGTGATTAAATGAATTAGTTAATTATTAATTAATTGCTGCCTACTTAAGAGATGACCATTTATGTATTTGCGATAGAAGTTTCAATACTACCAAGTCTGGGCAAACACGCTTCCTCAGAACAAATTTCATTTCCTAGTTGCAAATTGTCAATACTTTGAAGGGAATAATGACATGGTCCGTTTGAGAATAACGTATAGTTTCTAATAAACGTGAATGTAATATTCGTAATGCATCGCGGCAGAAATGGGATAGTACTATCGACTACTATTATCCGTACGTGCTTAATCCACCCAAAGACCAGTTCGGTTAGGTTTAATGTAAAAGATACATCAATCTGTTCATTATACACAACCCTTCCTACTAAGACCCGCCTATCACGAGTTCACCCTCGTTCCCAACGTACACATCTATTATAGCCATATGTGCGTCCGATCTCCTCGTCGGTTCTAAAGTCCTGGTACACATGTGACTCGGGAAACTCACATGTCCGCACAGATTGACACGTGCTGAGCTAGTGTGGTGTCCATATTACGTGTCCATACATTCCTCGTCGCTTGTGTCGACTATGTACTACTACTACTACTATGTTTCGTCTTGTATTTTCTTTCTATATGTGTGAATATTTCACGTAAACATATGAAAGTTGTGGACGTGTTGAGATGTACAAGATTGTGTGCGATAGTAATCAGCAAAACAACGGTGATAAAATTTTAAGCATTGTAAAATGAACATGCAAAATCATCAAATTAAAAAAATATGTCAAAATATATGTATTAATGTGTTATCTAAATAAAATGAAAGCGACTCAATATCTGAATTTGGAATTCACTTAGTTGTTTCAACTATTATTTTAATAATATTTCACTGTAAGCATTGTGGTTTAGTTATTTAAACGCACACGAATCTAAATTTGAAACAGATGTGGCCAAGCCTACACACGCGCTGCGCATGCGTGATCATGTACACACGTGTTATCGAAACAACTCTTTCGTTTTATACCGCCCTGGTACATATGTGTGTTTGAGACACCGTATGACGGCATCATTTACTAAATTGACACATGTGTGACATTCGTGATAACGTTCCGCAATATATGCTATGCGGTCGTCGACTCGGAACGTCAACTCCGAGCCATTTTATCAGCAGGGTTTTACGATAACAGCATTAACTAATATGACGTGTTGTTGTTTATGTTTAAATATTATTTTGTTGTACGTGTGTGCTTACATTTAATTACAATTGTTTATTCAAATAAAATATTTTCAAATGAATGAAGGAAATGTTTGAGAAAGCTTACAATTGGAAGAACGGAACGTCACACACGCACACAAATGTACCCTTTCCTTCACAAAATATTTTAAATGGTGGGATTTCAAGAATGAAGACTAGATATTTGGCCTAGGTTGCTCTTCACTTAGCAATTTGGAACATCCATAACAAAATCGTTGGCTTAACGGCTGTGATAGAACCCGTACTGTCGGACATCCAAGATATGTAAAGAGGTGAGCGCTGAGGTAACTAAGAGTAGCACACATTACGCCAGTTTCGAGCATACCCGAATGGAAGAGGTGGAATAGATTTTTCTTGATTGACAGCAACGAGCTATGCTTCTCGACTCTGCAAATCCGCCAGTGTTGGTTTGAGGTCAGAGGGTAATTTTTTTCCTATCTCTTCCCTTCTCTATCCCCAGATTGTACGAACTACCTTCGAATTATAAAGTGATGACACACTAGCCGAATATTTAGTTCTGACTTGGCGAGGTGTAGCGGGCATATGAATATACAGTAGTGACGCATATAAGGACTTCGCCTCGGAAGTTTGTTGAAGACGTTCAGACGAATTTCTCACAAATTAAAATAGAAAATGAGTAAAATACTAAAAGTGAAGAATGGTTTTACAAGATTACTCCTAATTCCCTTGGTGACATCTGAATACGTCATATTATCACAATGTAAACACTAGGAGATTATTCTAGAATTTGTGTGATTTTGTTTGATGAAGCGTGAAAATTTACATCTGAACTAAACTTCAAGTCGTCCATTTTAAGATTTGCACACGTATCAACGAAATGGAATATGGATACAATAAATTTGTTAATTCTGATTAATATTATGAAATAAGAAAAAACACATAAATATATAAATTTTATTTCGATCTGTGATCTTATGCAAGGTTTTTTTCGTTTAAAAACTACATCTACTAACTTTATACTACTTAGTAATTTATTTTTAATAATTTTATTGCAATTTTTGGGTACACATGCCCACGGCGCGGCGTCGTGGCCTGTGGTCATAAAAACTAATAAAATAATAATGATGGAGCTATATTTTTATTTACATTTGGGTTGTTTGTTTCGGATAAGTAAAAAAAAATCACAGTTATCTTCTACTTTCTGAATGTTACACACACTATTGAAGTTAACTTTTATATTCATACTCCATATTCATCCTTAATTCGACATTATTGAAATGAATGGAATTTTCTCGTCGACGGACGATTATGACGAAGAATTCGACGAGCGAACTAATCCTAAGACACAGAGTTTTTCGCCGGAATTTCCCAGTGGGTTGCGATTCCGATCTAGTGATAGATTCTCCCAGGTTAAGTTTGTGACCGTAGATTGAATAGCCCTTATATTCTACCAGCGAATAGCTAGGGGAAAACAAAGAATGGAATTTCTCTTATTTCACTTACATGAGGTTTTGAAATATCTGCCAGCTTCAGCCATCTTAGGACCATCAAATCTAAAATCATAATACTATAGTAATTGCTACGGAGAAACATGCACAACCGTGTACCCTATCATTAACAATGCTACAGACCTCGGAATGAGCCTAAAAAACAAGAAGAAAAAACGTTTTTGGGCGCCGCCTACATCCCATTGTTTCAGGCGTCATGTACCAGGGCTTAATAAGGGAGCAGAAGTTAATTTTGACAAGCAAAGGGCTCTCTGGTTTACATGAGTATTATATATCTGCCGTCTAGGTTCTCAATTTGACAATAAAATTTATAACCGTACAATTTTTCACAAATTAAAAATTATTATTAAATAAGTAAAATACATTAAGATCTAATTAAATTTCGTTATTGTCTATAAAGAAGTATAAATATGATTATACTTTAATAGTTCTAAATAAATAAGTTGAATTTTCATTGTCTACTTGCGCTTTTCAGTTCAACCTATACGTAATTATTATATTTAGATATGCTCACAAACAGGTACAGGGTTTCCCGAACACATACGTATTTTTGAAATACGAACACGTGAAACAACGCCGTACCCCTAGCTCGCATCACACGTCGACGCTAGTACAAGATCGAAGGGTGGGTAAGCTAAACTTTCATTCACCTATGTTTGCCTGGTAGCTTCGTACTGAGAATACACGTGGTCGGCGAATTTGCAAGGTTATTTTGGCCAAAGATGAGAGAAAAACTAGGTCAATAAACTCACTCAAATAAATTATTCCACTTGTATTTATTTTATTGTGATTTGCCACATGCCTAAATAATCATCATAAATGCTCATCAAAAAAGTTACATGTGAATTTCATATACATATTATCATTTTAACAAAAACAGAAGAATATTTTGTTTAATTTAAAAATTTAATAATATCGTAAAAATAACAATCGATTTCCGGAATAGTGCTAGAGCCATTGGACACATTAAAAGATTTTTTCTTATTATGGCATACATTTTACAGGTACGATGGGCCGAACAATTATTTAGTAAGTCTCGTGTTAAAAGGCTCGCTTCACCCGGACCTGATCAAACTCTATTCAGAGTCAAGAGAATTCAAACGAATAACAACAAACTTATGGAGAAGAGAAATGGCCCATATTCATATTCTAAATATGAGTTCAATGACGAACTATGGAGTAATCAGTGGTATTTGGTAAGAAACTTTAAAATAATCAGTTTTAAGTTTATTTTTAATTGCTATTGAAAATATTAAACGTTCTAGCAAGATACCCGCACGTCGTCTAAACTGCCTCGTTTAGATTTAAATGTGTTGCCAGTCTACAAATCGGGATTCAATGGAAAAGGTGTTCGTGTTTCTGTACTTGATGATGGCATTGAACACAATCACACGGATCTCCGAGCCAACTACGTGAGTTTATGTTATCCTAATAAAACCAGTCTCTTGTTTGAAACGAAAGAGATACACCACAAACCTAGATTCCGTCTTTCTGAACTAGAACGCTCTCTCTCAATCACTCACAGAATGATCAGTGTATAATTAAAGCTTCTTGCAAGATCTGCCTCCTTGGTAGATTCCAAGAACAATTTGACTTACAGAAGTAAAAAATCGTATCTGCTAAAAAGTATGTTTTAGCAGATACGATTTTAGTTAGTCTAGCTTATTTAAAAAATTTAAAAAAACATAGTTTCTGTTTGGAACTTTCAGGTTGGTTTATTGATTATATTGTATAATAAGTAAGTAGCACTGAGTTCAACGGAAAATCTAAAAATCAAAGTTCTCAAGGATTAATAAAATTACGACTAATTAAAACTAAAAATAAATTGTTTTTCCACAAAACCTACATAATGCTCTATTGAAAGTATTGAAAAAATTATCCCGCACGGCTCTATTGAATTATTATTATAAATAAAGTTTGTTTACCACATTAGGGAACAAAACAAAAATTTTAATAGAAACAAGTAACTATAAATCATGTTACTTTTATTTTTCTAACCGCTATTTTGCAAAATTTAAATTCAAGTTATTATCAGTGTTTTATTGTTCACATATCCGTATTATTAATTAATACGTGAAGCAAAAACTTTACGCCTTTTTACAAAAATTACACGGACGGCGGAGTATGAAATTACCCACAATTAAAGAGAAGTGCAGAATGCTAATTTTGTTTTTTAATTATGCATAAAAAAAAAATGTGTGCGTGTACTAGTGTACACACGTAAGAAGTGAAACATTAATGCTATCCCTACTCCGTTGGAGAAAGTGAAAGTACTCTTCGTCTGAACCAACCGTGGTAGGGGCAAGAAAAAGATGGCGCGTAACGGAAAAATGTGACGCGTAACCGAAAAATGTGACGGTAAATTTTTTTCCAACGCCGATAAGGAAGTTTCACTTCAATAAATTAAATAATGTGTTTGACACACACACGCATATATATACTCTTTTGTGTCAAACTTTTGTTAATGTTTAAAGTCTATGGTCAAATTGAGATTAAATTAATATTGTTTGTCTTTAATATTAAATAACTACAGTGTAAGTCTCGGCGAAATCTGTGATTATAGAAATAAAGCCTTTGACAATAGAATCATAATAATGTTTAAACTTATAATTAAAATTAATAATTATGGTAGAATTTCGACCGCTGGCTGACCACTAGTTTCGATAAAAATGTCGGAAATTATATCACATTAACCACATACATAATAAGCCAATCTACAATCTAATCTGCTCTACAGCAGTCGTTGGCAACTCCTGTTGTTTATGAGATCCTAGTAACTTCGCGGCCGATATGACGCACATCTTTATAATGCGTCTGAAGACTTGCAAAAGTAGTTGTTAGTAAGTAGGTAGTTAGTTCATTTAGTTAGTAAGTTAGTTAAGTTAGCGTGAATTAACTTGTTTACATTTTTAATTATTTTCTAGGATCCAGAAATAAGTTGGGACTGCAATGATAGAGATTCGGACCCTTTCCCGAGGTACCAGAAAGTTATGAAAAATTCTCACGGCACACGTTGCGCTGGCGAAGTATGTTCTTGTCACATTAAGATTCTGTTATCCATTTTTGATTATATTATAATAATATTATGTATAATGAATGACTATAGACAATAATTTAGATAATGCTAAAATTAAACAACGATATTGTTTTCTCTTCATTCGTCAGATAGCAATGACCGCGAACAATGTGAAATGTGGAGTGGGCGTGGCGTGGGGGGCGAAAGTGGGCGGTGTACGTATGCTCGATGGAGCTATCACCGACCGGATTGAGGGGGAGGCAATAGGTAAGTATAACTCTATGGGTTTATGCGTTCCTGGTATTTACGGTCGCCATGTTGAGCTTAAAATGTCGCGGTTTTATTTCTCAAATCTACGAGCTTTTTACTTCTAATCTCTAAAGATGGCGCTGGCAGAAGAAGATGCCAAAGATTCAAGATAATATTAGTATTAAATATATACATATGCATAAGTACACGTACTTAGAGTACCTATAGTAGATTTGATATTTATATACAATTCAATATAAGAATACAAATCCTCATTTTTATTTATTGTCAATAAAAACCATTATTTTTGATAAATTTAATGTTTCTACATATTACAGATTGTACAATTCACACCAATACAAAGCCGCTTAAAATTTATAACAGCGCCATCTATAGTAAATAATAAAACTTGTTATTTGGTGTTTCAGCGAGATCTTCCTATTCTATGTAGTCCTAGTACTTTCAAAGTTAGTGGACTATAGCTTGTTAAACTGACAGCTGTTGTTTAAGAAAAAGCGTTTTGATTTATCATCTTAATCCTAAGGTTAAAAAATGGTCAAAATCATCACGGCAACCCGCTAAATTTCTGCCGGGATCTTCTCGCGGATCGCGATTCCGATCCGGTGATAGATTCTGCAAAGCACTGCTCTTACTAAGACTAGTATTAGCAAATTCTCGTAGGTAGAGCCCGTGAACTCACTCACTTACTGTCCGCGCGTGGCTGGAATAGCTTCATAATAGTCTATAATAAATATGCTTGCTATCAGCGAATAGATGGGGAAAAAAAAGTAAAAAAAATTGTTTACGCCTATTTCGATTTTTTCATTTTTCTTAAAATGTACTTGTGAGCCGACCTTGATTTTTCTTATGCTTAGTATGTTTTTTTAAAAAAAGTTCATTGAAATCACTTCAAAACTTTTATTTTTTTGTTCACAGGATATGCTGTTGATAAGGTCGATATTTACAGTGCCTCGTGGGGACCTAATGACGACGGAAGAACCGTTGAAGGACCTGGTCATTTGGCGATGGAGGCATTCAAGAGAGGTGTCGAAACGGTAAATAAAGAGAAAACAAATAGATTCCAAATAGTGTAATAACAACTCTCCTTTCTTTCATGTATTCCTGGTAGAAATTGAAGAGAAACGACGTAACTTAAGTGTTAAACGTCCAAAATTTGGATGGGGTTAATAGGTATGTATATCTGTCACTTGTTTTAACGAGTAATATAGATCTTACTCTTTCTAACAGTCTTTAAACTTTATACGAATGAGCGCGTTCTCTCTCTCACATGTAATTTCTCACAAAAAAATGGTTGTATTTTATTTAGGGAGTGTATTAGTCCTCTGTTTGTGCACAGTTTTGGAAGTTTTGGTAGTTTCTCGAAAAATCATGGAATAGTAAGTAATATTTGATTTTATTTACTAACACGGATACCTATATTCTTTACATTTTAAGTCAAAAACAAACTTTGAAGAAGCAACGGCCTAGTTATTCATTCTATATTTGTAAGTGGATTTTGGTTTTTTAATGTTTTTTTAATAATTTCTTATTTGTTATTTTAGTTATTTGATTTTTATACCAGTGATTGAATTATTTGCATAAGCCAATGTCTACGTTGAACTAATTTATATATATTTAAAAAAAACGATATACATATTTAGTTAGATTTTTTAATGTTTCCTCAACTATTATTTTTTGTCTCTTCAAGCACAAAATCAGTAAAACGATTGTTTATTTGACTTATAAATAGTTAAAAAAAATAGGTGCGAAAAAAAACACGTTAAGTATTTTTAATTAAGTCGCATCCATACTTACTTGTATTTTTTTATGCTTAGATGGATGGACGAACTCACGACCCACCTGGTGTTAAGTAGTTACCGGAGCCCATAGATATCACGACAGAAATAGGCAGGGTGGTGGTACCTACCCGCGCGGACTCACAAGACGTCTTACTACCGGTAGCTTTTATGGAGCATACGTGTTCATTTATGAATATCGCTAGGAGTATGAAAAATAAATAGTAGTCGATTCTCAGACCTACTTAACATGCATATAAAAATTCATAAAAATCGGTCAAACCGTTTCAGAGGAGTATGGTAACTAACACTGTGACACGAGAATTTTATATAGAAGATAATCAAAAAAATATTTAAAATACTTACAGTAGACTGAGTTAGTTGAGAAAAAAAACAACATTTTAACGACATTACGCACGAGTTTCACATAGCAAAATCGTATCAACAGCGTTGAATGTGTAATGTAGCATTTGTAGCGACCGCGGTTGTTTTGTTCGCGATATTTTCACTTCCATGCGCCTATGTTGTCCTGGTAGCATTGGGAAACTATGACGTAAGACGTAACGTGGACAGACACCGGGACGGCCGGATATGAGGCAAATCAGGCAAAGCAAACAAATTCAACTGAGGAGAACGAAATGTTTGCCGTCACCAAAATAAATTCTCATGGTCCATTTTTGTGTGAAATATTTAATTGATTATGTCCGATCGCTATACAATTTATTCGTCAGATGGATTGTAGGGTATATAACATAGATAATACACAAATAAATTAGGTGTATAATTCGAAAATATTCGTCATTTTTGCAGGGTCGAGGCGGCAAAGGCGCCATCTATGTTTGGGCGAACGGTAATGGCGGCGGACATAGCGATAATTGCAACTGCGACGGGTATTCAAAGAATTTATGTAGATGACAGTTAATTATTTCGTAGAGAAACTAAAATAGCGTTTTAGATTGCAATCTAAGATCAAATATTTTATTATTACAGTTATTCATCCAGTATTTATACCGTATCAATTGGAAGCGCCTCCCAGCACGGACTATTTCCCTGGTACGGGGAGATCTGTTCTTCTACTCTCGCTGCCGCTTATTCGTCTGGTGCATACAAAGATCAGAAAATCGTAAGAGTTTTATTTGATTTTTATTGTGAGAATAACGTAGTAGATAAATCAGAGATTATTAAAACGTTTTTAAAATACTTTTAGGTTGCAATCTCGTGTTTGCATTCATTATAATTATTAAATGTAGAGTATATATGATTCAAAGGTTATAATCATAAATCCTAATTAATTTTGTTATAGGCCACTACGGACACAGGAGACTCATGCACGCTTAGTCACACCGGGACATCCGCAGCTGCGCCTTTAGCGGCTGGTATCATCGCACTCGCCCTAGAAGCTAAGTATGAAACTCTTCATTATTTATGTGAGCCTAGTACTTCGAAAAACGGAATTCCGTCGTTTTCAGATTCCTCGGAAACAAAAAACATCTATCTTTCTTCTTTGCAAAAGAAAGGCAATTGAAGACACAAAACGCTTTTATCGTGGCCAAAGAATCGGATTGAATTTGAAAATGTTACAACAATGCACATATTTTTTATTTAATTGTTAATTTCACAGTCCAAATCTCACGTGGCGAGACGTCCAGCACTTGATAGTCTGGACCTCGGAATATGCACCGTTGTCAGCGAATCCTGGATGGCAATTGAATGGGTAAAAATAAATTCATCTATTTATGCAGAAAAGCTAACAGAAAAAAACGTTGTAAGTTGTGCATCCCCAGGGCCTAGACAATATCCGTTTCGAGAGCCCATAGATAATAAAATGTGAATATGTATGGCAGATATGTGGCAAATAGGTATGTATTATGAGATAAGAGCACATTAATGTTTCGGGTCGTTATAATATGCTCTTTCACCAATTTACAAAACGGTAATAGGGCGATAAGAAACAATATTGATTTATAGAGAACGGTCCGTTCGTCTTTTTCATGTAGATATTATTTCTCCTAAGCGGAGCAATGAATATTGATTACATTTGAATAACAATTTTGTGTTTTTTAAAATCTTAAGTCAAGTAGGTATATGTTTATTTCCTTCCTTGCTTTAGAGTTGGACTTCGTTTTGATATTCGATTTGGATTTGGATTAATGAATGCAGGAGGACTTGTCAAAGCAGCTTTGAATTGGACTAATGTCCCAGAAAAATCGATTTGTCGAGTGAAAGCATCTCCGTGAGTTTTATTTTCAGAATTTTTGTACAGTATTTTTCTCTTTTATTAAAGAATCACAGCTGATTTATTACGTCGTTTTAATCTATTTCCGTTTGCTCGGAAAACAATCTAGGCGTTGCTTTGAGAATAAATTTGAGCGCAGACGATTCCGACCAAGCTCTACCGTGTTTATGTTTACCTGGTAAAAAATTCGTTAAGTTTTGCTAAACGGAATGAACTTTATGAGAATGCACTTTTATTTTATTTACCTTACTATTTATTTTATTGCTCAGAAGACCATCCTTATTTCAACAGTATGTTGTTTTGTTAAATAGGTACCTTATTATTTAATCACAATATGTATGATATTAAGTTGAAATTTTTAGTTCGGAGTACGAAAATAAATTGACTACAGGGGAAGGCGTTGATATTTTGTTGGACGTCGAAAATTGCGTTGTTAACTATTTGGAACATGTTGAAGTTATTTCAAATATAAAATATACTCGTCGTGGGGCGTTACAAATTTCATTGATTTCACCGCAAGGTAGGTAATGTTTTCTCTCTCTCTTCTGTTTATCTACTTTTTGTATGATCAAGTGAGACCGCTATATATCCGTTCTTTCGTGTAAGCATTTGACACACTTTTTATGTGACAAACGCTTTTGAGTTATGCGAACCTAGTACAAATTTGTAAGATTTTCTGCCTGCTACGGAAAACTTTTTGTTACCCAGCAAAGTTTTTTGTATTTTTTTGGGCATTTGGGATAAAAAAACCCACACACGATTTGTAATTTTTATAGGAACCAAAATACAGCTTTTGAGCCCACGTCCTCTTGATATATCCAATGATGGTTTTTTCAATTGGCCTCTAATGTCTGTGGGTACTTGGGGCGAAAATCCTAATGGAATTTGGAAAATTGTCATAGAAGATAAGGTAAAATATATTTTTATTTATATTTATGTAATTTATTTCATTTAAACTGATGAGAAATTTCACGTTTTTATTTACCTAATTTCACAGACAAAGGAACGTAATTCCGGGGAAATTGGTACATTCAGTTTGATAGTACACGGAACTAATGAAATGCCAGAGCACATGAGAAACGGTCCAAGGAAATACAATAAAGAGTACAACAACAACAGCTACGGGGACGTATTCGAATACTTCGATAGCGTGCGTAACAGCGATTTGAACACGGTTACGGACGATATTGCAGCTGCCGTACCAGGGTCGCATGAGGCCGAGGAGTTTGACGCAAATGAAATCGACCCAGAAGTACTCGCGGCAGTTGAAAAAGAATTACAAAGAATTCATCACCGAAAAAACTATCTGCCTAGTCTCGGACTTTAAATAAAAACGTATATTTTACTCCACAATGATCTCGAAAAAAAAAACGTACCTAATTTTATCTCGTGCTGTATGTAAATGTTATGTATACATATCATCATTATTGTCGATGATAAAAATAATTTATGTTACATATTTATTATTAAATATTTAATAAATAAAGTATGATTATAGCTTGCTGTATTATGTTTTTTAATGTATACTTTTGGACGAATCTTTAAGAATTAGCACAATGTATTGCCAATACTCTTTCTGTGATCAAAGCAGTCGTGGGATCCGTAGCTTATGTCCAAACGTTTGCGATTACATCGTAAAAAATCGATGGTTTAATCGATTTTCAACAAATAATCGATTCAGCGAAGGTCGCTCAGATAGTAGAAAATTGAGATTCGATTTTTTCTCTTACGCTAAGGACGCAATTCTCACAAAAAAGAAATTCGTGTTTTTCGTCGTGCATCAGGTTACAAATTTCTAGGTACATTTTAATTTTATTCATAAAAATTATCGCTTATGTATCTACAATGAAGTGATTACAATTTCTTACGTTCAATTCGAAGGTTAAATAATAAATCGATATCTTTATTCAACCGATAACATTAAATCTATATATATAAAAATGAAACCCGTTTTCCGTTGTCACGACATAACATGAAAAAGGCTTGACCGATTTGGCAAATTTTGGTCTTGAATTATTTGTTGAAGTCCAGAGAAGGTTTAAAAGGTTAGATAAATATAAAAATATTCGGAATTAAATAAAAATAACAATTTTGTTTTTCCTTTGATGTGTCCCCCGTCGGACGGATTCCTTTTGTTTGTTTTAAGTTTATCTTAAACAAAAGTTTAGGTCTTTTATTTATCGATTGAGGCACTACGAAGTCTGCCGGGTCAGCTAGTATTAAATAATATGTTAAGTCAGTCTCTAATATCTAGAACAGGCGCAAAGACAGGGGTACCTACATATATTTTAAAATGAATAGTTGTCGAGATATCAAAGTGGTCCATTAGTCGAATTCTTACTTGTATACATACCTACCTTATCTCAAAGATAGTAAATAAAGGACTTGTTATAAATACAATTATGAACAAACCAAAATAACCAATCTATATTGTATAGAAAATTACAAATTCAGTCTTTAAGAGATGCTTAAAAAGATTTTTTACATGTTTAATAAAAAAAATCTATTCTATGTAACGTAAAAACCTAAATCTCTTAATTCTTCTATCAGGAAATCATCTTTGTATCTATAGATCTTAGCGATCCATTCTTCAGTCGAGATGATGTGTCTGCAACTGCCCCCATACTCGGGTGGCAAGTACTGGGGCTGTATGAACTTGTGGAGTGATTCCATGTTCGAGCCGTGAAAATGCAGGCGGCTCCATACTGCAGCCGGTATGAATTGTTTAAACAAATAAAACACAGAATTCAAGATCCAGTTGTAGTTTATGATGTGGAGGCCGTGCATCGCCAACGGGAATGAAACCTTAAAAAGAAATGCATCTGTCTCAAAATGTTTTGATAGTTTTAAAATTTGCAAATGAAACACTCGCAAATGGAACGCAATCGGTTGCACACATTAATCGATACTAGTAATCACGTGTGTAATTGACAATCTTGCAATTAATTGCTTCCGGAGTAAGTACCTACTTCTCAACTTGGTCGATTGATATAGAGACCATGGATACTAGGATAGTAGGACTTGCTTAATGCGAAAAAGTATTTACATATTGTACAAAATTCTGTTTTGAATATTTTATACTAACTCCCATAAGACTGACAATCTGGTACGCAACTGTCGGGGTCAAATGCCTCACGTGTCTGATGCTCAACCCATCGAGGTCTACGATGATGGTCACGCCCAGGATCTGTAGTTTTGGCTGCATCACAGCAATTTCATCCATGAACAGGGCGCAACGAACCACGTCTTCGATCGGCACAGCACTGGGATCCCAGCGTCCTGAGGAGGTTACACATATAAACACAATTATTACTAATACAATTCATCTGACCTATGCATGTACGGGTACTAATCAATATAGTCTTTATGTTTCAATATATTGGACTGGAAATATAATATGCAATGTTTAAATGTTTTACGTACCGAACCTCATAAGAACTATTCTTCCATTTTCCGGACTTTCGGGTAAAGTTGCTCCGTAGACATTTTTAACTCGTTGTAGTCCAAATGGGTCACAGTTGTACAGGTACGCGTTGTTTTGGCGAAAGTCTTCGTAACGCACCATCTGATGTAATTAATAATTTTTAAGTGTGATATGATAAGCTACAGTATCGTTTATACACCTCAGTTCTTTAATTCACAGGGAATTTATGAAATGAACTCAAGTCAGTTAATATAAACTAGATGGCGTTGGTAGTTATTACATGTCAATGTCAATGCAATTTATTGATGCTCTGTAAGCCAATAAACGCTTCTGCAGCCCACTGTGCATCTTTGTCGAAGCAAAATTTAAATCCGTATTCGCAATAACCACTACTTGGTTAGTGGGCTCGCTTGGTGATAACTGGTTACCGCTACCAAAGACGACACACATATGTGTAATTTATTGATAATAATGAAGATAGTTCAATGTGAATGTTAAAATTTTCTTTTTATAATTTGTATTTTATCAATAATTTTCGTAACATAGCTGGCAGACACAACAGCAAAAACAGCATGTTTTCAAACAATTATTTTTAATTATACAAAATTATCTAGAAAAGAAATCGTTAATTTAGTTTACAATGTTTGAACGTGACCCATTAAAATCTATAAATAGACTGAATGTAATATCTTGCTTACACTTTGAAGTGATTTTGCTTACAAACTGGTTCAGAGCGGTAATAAGATCATTGACCTTGTGAATAAGCCCGCGAATTTTGCTTCGAAGGCGGAAAGTAACGGAAATCTTTGGTAAACAAGTAAACAAAAACATTGGCCCGAAAAAATTGACGACGTTGCTGTTTTGAGAGCTTTATTGGTGTTATTATTTTTAAACGTTGTGCTAGGTATAATAAAATAGTTAAATTCACTAAGCGCGTGAAGTGTTCACTTGGTCACGGTCATAAAAGAAATGAATTTCTTGTGTTCTATTAAATCTCTAAGAAATTGCTTTTAGAAGGCTATAGTGGTATCTATTGCCGACTATGGGCGAATAGTTGAAACCTTGTTTTAGGAAAGCGACATCTATTGACCAGTACCAATCCAAAAATACACTAGCCATTATTTCAAGTAAGGCCCGACAGGTAGGACTACGCTAACTATTCCTGCCGTAAAGAAATTGGAATTTTCCTGATTTATTTATTTATTTATGTAGTAAACACTTACTGGTCTGGTAAGCCCTTACGGATCGGTACCAACATCGTACCTACTTTGGCCGCGAAGCACTAATGCGTAATGGTTTGAAGGGTGAGACAGTCATTACATAACACAACTGAGACTGTCCCAGACTTGAGTTTGTCTTATGAGTTTGTCTATATAATATATTGTTTGTCTTTGTAAGTACATATCTCAAAGTGAGCGGAGGCATTTTTTTATATTTTTTATTGCTTAAATGGGTGGGCGAGCTCACAGTCCACCTGGTGTTAAGTGATTATCGGAGCCCATAGACATCTACATCGTAAATGCGCCACCCACCTTGATATATGAGCTCTAAGGTATCTGTATAGTTATAACGCCTGCCCTGCTCGTCAAACCGAAATGCATTACAGCTTCATGGTAGAAATAGAGGGCGGTAGTAGTACCTAACCGTACGGACTCACAAGAGGTCCTATCAGCAGTACACCAGTTCACCTAAGATGTTTACAGAAGAGCCGTGAGTTCGTTCACCTATCTATGCAAGAAAAATTGCCTATTCGCATCCGCCTTACCGACAAACCACATTTCAGACGTGCAGCGCTTTGTGTTTGAGACATGAGCTGTTAAAATATGAAACCTAATTCGGATACCTACGTTTTTAAACAACTGATTAGTATACTAACCAATTTGTGAGCTAAAGCAGGAATAAACCGCCGACATCGAAGAAATCTGAGACAGTATGCGTCGTCAACGCGCCGAGGGATACATTCACCTCGTTCTGTGAAATTTCGATGGAAATAGGGAATTTACAAAACCATATTTAATTTTATATATTCTCAGAAATACTACTTTTATGCAAAAAAAAAACATCGTCTCTTTCAAATCCAAGTCTATATACATAAATCATTGATTGACGTGCATTTTCTATAGTTGTAACAAAATAACAAAACATTAGGGGGCGACAAACAAAACAATATTTTTGTTCGATGTCATCCAATTTTCAATGTAAAAATCAAATATGGCGTTAACAAATTGTTACGTCACATTACAACAATGTACCAGGTTCGCATAAAAGCAAAGAAGTTGGAAGTACCTCTCTATGTAACGTCTCAAAACTTACCTTGTCGATTGTATTACGTTTCTGTTTTGTCGTTACATCGAGCTACTAGGCGCTCATGAATGTAAAGAAGTTAATGTGTTACAAACCGCGGACCATGCGGCGTAGCTCCTCGATTACTTTATGCCTAGTGTCAGGGAATTCGTTACAATTCTTCTTGGCGTACTCTTCAAAGTCCGGGTCTTCGTATCGGCTCAGTTCGGCTTGGAAGGCGATGTCAATGAACGGCATGGCCGCTTCAGTACAATAACAACCTGATCGCTATATTCCTATAGAATGAATAACAATTTGAAATGTTCAATTATGTTAAAGTTTTGGTGACTGACTTTATTCGCATTAAATTTGCATAATAACGTCTATGGACGAGATTTATGAAGATAACGATCAATTATACTCCATTCCACATGTAAAACTTCACTAGAAAACACAGAAGAAAGTATGCACCTATGGGTATAGAATCAGTATCTTATAAAGGTCAGCTTATATTTATTTAAATTTTAATTAAAATCCCGTGGAAAAGAAAAATAGCCTCTTGCCGTCTCATGAATTCCTAGTTGTTACTAGCTTTTTTCGATGGTCGTTCATTCATCGTTTATTGTTTCGGCGGCATTTGGTGTGATTTGGCTATGTCCTTGGCATTGCTGGTGTCCATGACTAACGGTGACCACTCACCATCAGCTGGGACATATGGTAAAAACAAAGTAACCCAAATTCTGTGTTACATTTGGAGTGACGTTGGAATCTGTAGTTGAATAAAATATAAAAGCATCTACAATTTTGATTACGAAAATAAAAATAAAAATTTCAATAATTATCACGTGCTTCGTTTGTCCGTAGTAAGTTTGAGCCTAAGCCAAATCTTAATTTATATTATTCAGCTAAATAACATCTCAACGCTACAAGTGTTGATGTATTTGACTTTATATATTTCTATTACAAGTTGGTTGTTATGGTAACAGCGAAGGTTGAATAAAGGTAAAAAGTGTACTGGCGGAACGCGAGAACAAAGTTGCGTTAATTAATTTATTTTGTAAATTTAGAGTTACTTCAAGCTTAAACTTGTAACAACAGTGGTTTATTAACTGTAGATAAGCATCGGTGAAAGTGCACAAATGTCCGAAAATGAAACTAAGCCGCTAGTCGTGGCTTCTCCGATTCTTTGCAAAAAATATCACGGAAATTTCAACCATAAACCGTATTTCAACCGTAAACAACCATAATCTTATTATACTTAGTCTGGCCATAAATACTGTTACAAAGGAAAACAAAAAAAAATCGATGGCAAATAACATTTATTACTTTTACAGGGTGTTAGATTAATACATAAATATAAAACAATTTAAAGTATAAAAAGCTCATTCAAAGTGGTCTCCATTGGCTGCAATACAGTCCTTTAAACGTTGAGGTCAGTTATCAATCACGCACTCTTGCCATGGGAAAATTTTTCACTGCCAATTGTACGGATTGTTTTAGGAACTCCAAATTATCATGGCGTTTAGAGCAAGCCGTACTCTCTAAAACTGACCATAAATCATAATCCAGCAGATTAAGATCGGGACTAGACGACGGCCAGCCTTCAGCTCTGATGAAGTACGAAACGTTCGTTTCCAACCCAGACTGCGTAGACAGAGCTTTATGACCTGGCGCCGAGTCTTGCTGGAAGGACCATTCTTGATTATTGAACATGGTGTTGTTAAGGGGCTTCACTACCTTCTCAAGAATGGTATCTTGATACACTTGTGCCGATGTTTTGATACCTTTTTCACAAAAGTATGGCCCAGTCACTCCTTCATAGCTAATACCCCACCAAACCATCACTGAAGTCGGATAGNCCATTCTTGATTATTGAACATGGTGTTGTTAAGGGGCTTCACTACCTTCTCAAGAATGGTATCTTGATACACTTGTGCCGATGTTTTGATACCTTTTTCACAAAAGTATGGCCCAGTCACTCCTTCATAGCTAATACCCCACCAAACCATCACTGAAGTCGGATAGTGCCCACGTTACACTCTATCGACTAATTGGGAAGCTTCTTTAGAGCTTTGAACATAAATACGGTCATTTTGTTTGTTAAAATGTTGCTCAATTGTAAAAAAAATCTCATCCGTATACAAAATTTTTCTATGACCTCCCTTTGCGTACCGCTTCAGTAGTTGTTTCGATTTTACCACCCTATTCTCTTTTAAATTATCAGTCAAGAAATGACCAGTACGTCTCTTATAGGCTGCAAGTCCTAAGTCATCTTTTAAAATACGCGACATGGTTCTAGGTGCTATCTTCATCTCCCGAGATAAAATATTTTGCTTTCGGACAGGATTTCTTCGAATTCTTTCCCTTACTGCTTTGACTACTTTTTTCGTACGAACACTACGTGGACAGCCAAATCTTTTTCTGTCACAAACAGAGGAGGTCTCATTGCAACTATTAATGCAATCACAGCGATTCTATTCTCTTTATAACCCCACTCCATTTTAATATCGCAAAATATTGTACAATGTTTTGGCGCCAAAATGAGAAAACTCAATGAGCAATCATATAAAAATGACAGATTCCAAATTCAAATGTAATATTTTGTTTATTTTTAATTGTAACAGTATTCATGGCCAGACTAAGTATACAAAATATATGTTTTTACAAAACGTATATACAATTGTTTTTTCAATAAAATATTCATCACACCTATAAATACCCCCTTGGTTGACTGATAAATAATGCCTAAAGTATTTTTTTAAGTAATTTATAAATGTTTACCTTATTATATTTTATAAATAAATAAAAAAGTACATATTTACCTCTAAGCATAAAGTTAAATAAATATATCGACAACAAGATGCTATTGCACCTTTACTGGACTGAGAACGGAAATAATCACAAATTTCACTCACCTTAAAATGGATAACCTATAACGTATCGATATTAATCGTTTTATTTATGTATTGTTTTATGCAATTTACTTTCACTGAATTCGCGGCGCGTGCGCTCTGGACGCTCACACAAACAGACTACCCGTAACCCGTAATTGCGGCAGCCAATTATAAATCACTGTAGCTTATAGACGTGTGGGGAATTAATGTAATTTTTTGAACCGGGACGATTAATCTCCGGAGTATACTACCTACCTACCCACGCATTGAAGATATGGGATAGCATGTGTTAATCGAACCAAATAGTCTCAGGTCTAGCGAAACGTTCGATCGCCGACACTGGCATGGCGGTGCGAATTGGCGGCGTCGTCGACTATGCCTTTTTTTGTACCTATCTGCCAGTAGCCAGTCTATTCTGGCCTCATTTTGACTTTGCCAACATTTACTTTAACAAGAACAGCGTTTTGTTGAATCTACATACGCATGGGAAGCGCGACTCATTGAGAAGATCTCGCGAGAAACTCAGTGGATTCTGTCTATGGGAAGACCATCGGTCCGTTGATGGTCGGGTTGTAGGAAGTCTTGTGTACCATTTATCCCCTAAACACCACACTGGATCCTTAGTTATGTGGTATATTATCGGGAACTGACACAGAGCGACCACCAGAGCCCAAATACGAGACTTTAATTACATTGACAATTGGTTATATGCGATTCCTCAAGTCGACTAAGCATCTTGAGTTTTCTCTTGATTGATTGCTCTAGTGGGCAGCGAACCTCGCTACCGTAACTCGTGATCCATGTTCGATTCCTAGTGTACTAGACAAGTTACATTTAGACTAGGTAACTCTGCGATAGCTTGTCAATCCCATTTGTGTACTTTTCTATAAGCATTAACTGTAGCAGATTCTAATACATATTGTCTAGGACCCTTTTTCTGGTTTTATTAACGTGTCTGTTATACTAGAATAATTGCGCGGAGTCGACATATCCCTGAAGTGAAGTTCAATAAGAAAGGAATACATTATTTTTATTGCATTCGATAATTGGACGAGAACACAGCCTACCTTGTGTAAAGAGACATCGTAGATTGGGCCATCCTTAACGACTCATAGCTCTGTAGTCTCTAGAATAGCACCTGCCGATCTCTTCCCGTGTGTTTTGTAACATTTATCCAAGATATTCATCGGAGAATGGGCATCAATGTTCTCCGAGTATTATGCTCGGGACATGCATTGTATTTAGTTGCTACAAACAGGAACGTAAGATAACTGGTGCCAGAAATAATCAAGAGACTGGTATCTACTTGGCCCAACTCGTAATACGCCCACCAGTGCATACAATGCAATCATAGAGTTATTGCCACAGACGATAAGGGCTTTTGCACAATTCTGGGGGGTCCAAGTCCAGCACTGGGCTTTCGACTTTTCACGATTAAAAGCTTCGATCAACAATAGTAACTAGATAAAGGGATACGTACAAAATTAAAGCAAAAACTGTCCGCGTGAATATATACTTATAGAGCTACATTCGTTTACTAACAAACGGAGAAAAAAGTTTTGAAACACTTTTACTTTCAAACTAATAACAACTATGGCACCTAGTAATAAAGTCACAAATCTCCAAAACATTATCTAATACTTACGATCATTCGTCACATAAAACGAGCAAAGCAATAAATTACTCCTGTCACTTACCAATAAAAAGGCATATTTTAAACAGCTTTTAATGTTAAATCAATCTTAAGGTGCAACAAATAAAGTAACTTTTCCCTTAATTGCTCTGAGAACTAACATCGTTTTGCTTTATTTATTTTTGCTTCTTGAAATGCCGATTTCTATTTACTACAGGAGGTAAGGGAGTCGCGCTTAACACTAAAATAATTTATTAATGAATTAAAGTAAAAGTTTANGTTCTAAGGTCTCAAGTATAGTTACAACGGCTGCCCCACCCTTCAAACCGAAACGCATTACTGCTTCACGGCAGAAATAGGCAGGGTGGTGGTACCCACCCGCGCGGACTCACAAGAGGTCCTACCACCAGTAATTACGCAAATTATAATTTTGCGGGTTTCATTTTTATTACACGATGTTATTCCTTCACCGTGGAAGTCAATTGTGAACATTTCTTGAGTACGTATTTCATTACAAAAATTGGTACCCGCCTGCGGGATTCGAACAACGGTGCATCGCTTCAACACGAATGCACCGGACGTCTTATCCGTTAGGCCACGATGACTACTAAGCTGATGAGTCTTGAGAGGCTATGGCAGCGTAACCTAACAAGTCGGTGAGCTCACGGGGCTCAAACCCGACGACGTTGCTAACGCTAACCCTGGCAAGAGCAGTGCTTCGCAGAATCTAC